GATGATTGGAGCTCATCCAGGAGAAGAAAGAAGAGGGGAAAAACAAAAAAGAGTGAGCTGATACAATCTGATGAACTTGACCTTTACCTATGGAGCAGCAACTCAAAAGAAGGAACAAATCCTTACAGCAAGACACATTCTCACCTCCTCCACACACAGAGTGGACGGAGATGGGCAACTCAGACATTGGATACTCAAATGGGGAGGGGAGGACTACAAAGGCAAGAAGTGACTGGCTTACAAGCTTTCAAAAGGGAACTTAGTGCTAGGGAGCATGGAGGAAGGCAGAATCTCCTGTGGGTACAATTCAATCTGTCTGGGCAGAGCTGATGAAAAGAAATACAGATGGGTAAATGGTGATACTGTAGTGAATAATGCTTGTCAGGATGGATTGTGAGGATTGGAACAAGGAAGGGAGTGATTAACTCTCCAGGATAGGAGCGGAGAACTCTGGGACCATCAATGGAGAAGAGCCAAGAGTGGGACCCTACCCAGAGAGATAGAGATGCCTGAGATAGAGACAGAGAAGATGAGGACGTGGAGTGATGAAGCGGCTGGGGACTTTGGATCCAGAGAGGGAAAGGGACTGTGGGCCAAAAACTCAGGGGGGAGGGGTGGAAGTGTAGGGGGTGGGTTTCTAGGATATACCCTTTGGTTGGTGGATGATGCATGGAGAGGATTGGAACCATGGCAATGAGATGATGTACGATGGAATGAATGTAAAACTAAAGTTCTCTCACTTAAACTATCATACAATTCACAATAAAACATTAAAAAAATATATATGTGTGTTGGAATTTTAACCACTGTACATATGGATGCAGCCCCATTTAGGAACAGGTTTCCTTTGTTGTATTAATGAGACCCTAACAATGCAGGGTATATCTTAAATCTAATCACTTCTGAGTTATGGAAAGAGATTAGATCCAAAAGTAGTACACATGGGGGAAGACAGACCCTCTCTGATGCCAGCAGAGGCAGCTGAACTCACAAGCCCAGGAACTCCAAGGACCACCAGCAGCTATTGCTGTTGTTAAGTGCCGTGCAGCTGGTTCTGACTCATAGTGTCCCTGTGTAGGGTTGCTGAGGAGCTGTTGGTGGGTTTGCAATGTTGACCCTGTGGTTAGCAGTCTAGTCCTTATCCTACAGTGCCACACCAGGACCCCTTACCAGCTACTGGAAGCTGAAATAGGCAAAGAAAGGTCTTTCCTTTATAGCCACATGCTAAATTCAGACTTTTAGCCTCCTGAACGGTCAGAAAATTCATTTCTGCTCTTGAAAGCCACCCACCTGTGGTATTCCTGTTACAGCATGCCTAGGTAACTCGACGGGTGGTAAACAGTACCCAGTTCTCTCAACCCAATCCTTCTCCACGAGGCCTTCTTTGTCTTTATCAAATCCAGGGACCCTTCAAGGACTGGTACGCACATAACTACTTGACCAAGACTGGTCCAAATCAGACAAACAGCCTTTATTTCAGAATTTAAGAAAGTAGTGATCTGGGGACATTGAGCTCAGACTTAATGGTTAACCAGCCTGGAGAAAAGAGGTGGGTCCCACAAGGAGAGGGAAGGTCTCCAAATGAGGTCACAGCATGTGCACAGGCCTGGCATCTAGATAAGTTTGTGTGTAGGAACTGCAAGTTGACCAGTATGCTAGAACATGGAAGGTAGGAGCAGGAGAGAAAATGGCTTGGGGAGTAGGCTTGAATTATAAAGGGTGTGGTAAGTCAATGTCAGGCATTTGGATTTTAGTCTGATAACACTGAAGCTGTATAAGCAAGTGCATATCATGATGAGAATGACATGTTTGTAAAACCACTTTGGCTGAAGAATGGAGAGGAGAGGGCTGGAGACTGGGAGTTCACAGTGGAATTATGAATATGGTAGGGGGCAGCAATGGTGGTGGTTTGGGACGTGTTAATATTTAGAGCTGGAAGTGAGCCGTTGACTGGATGTGGTGTGGTAAGGAAGAGAAGCAGTCAAGGGTGACTTCTGGCCTCCAGTGGCAGGCCAGGGAGCTGACAAAACTGTGGCAGAAATATTAAGGCACAGGCTAGGGATTTGCCATGGAATAGCAGTTCCAGAATTCATGGTGGAAACCGTATATATTCCCACTGATCTCCTCAAGCATTCCTCAGCATCTTCTGTGCAGTTTACTTAAATTTGCATGTGCCTATCCTTGGCTTGCCAACAACTCCGGGGGCAGTTGAGTAAACAGTGAGGATCTGTATAGTTCAGTCTGAAGCTCTGACTCTCTAACATGACTTATAAACTAAACTGTGATTCCTCCCAAACTTTGTGTGGAAATCCTAACCCCTGTATCTATAATCTGTTTGGAAAGTGGGGGTTTTGTTTTGTTGTGTTAATGAGATTATGTCAGAGAAGGATGGGTTCCAAACTGTCATGGATTGAATTGTGTGTGTCCCCCCGGCAAATATGTGGGAACTTGTCTTTATGTAACGGGGCATTTATGTGATGTGATCTAATGAGATCAGCGTTGATCTGGTATAATTGTTCTATGTGTTGTAAATCCTCATTTCTATGTTAATGAGTCTGGATACATTTTACAGGATTAGGTTGTATCTTGAGTCAATCTCTTTTGAGATATAAGAGGAGAGAGAAGTCAGAAGAGCTCAGAGGAACCTTCTACTATTAAGATAGAAGAGCTGGAAGTGGGGCGCATCCTTTGGACTTGGAGTACCTGTACTGTGAAACTCCTAGATCAAGAAAAAGATTAATGCCAAGACATATGGAGATCTCCAAGGAATGTTGGTCCTGTTGTTGTTGTTATGTGCTGTGGAGTCGGTTCTGACTCTTAGCGACCCTGTACAGGGTTTCCAAGGCTGTAAATCTTTATGGGAGCAGAAAGCCTCATCTTTCTCCCGCGGAACAGCTGGTAGTTTTGAACTGCTGACCTTGTGGTTTGCAGCCCGATTCATAACCACTACGCTACCAGAGCTCCTTAATGTTGGGCCTACAGATGCTGAAAAGATTCCTTTCTCCAGAACCAACAGAGAAACAACTTTCCCCTAGAGCGGGCACTGTGAATTTCGGTCTTCTAACCTCCTAAACTGTTTGTGTTATTTCTGTTACAGCAGCATTAGATAACTAAGACAGAAATCTAATCACTTCTGAGTTCCAGAAAGTGCAGAATAGGCACAGATATAAACCTACAGGGGAAAGACATTTATACGAAAACAGACACATACAGCAAGATGTATTTACAAATCTAGAAATGCCAAATATTGCTGACAATTCTTAGAAGCTGAAATAAACAAAGAAACACCTTCCCCTAGGGTTATGCCCTGAACTGGGCTTCTAGCCTCCTAAATTGTGAGAAAGTGAATTTCTTTTCTTTAAAGACACCCACTTGTATTATCTTGGGTTACAGCAGCACTAGGTAACTTATACAATGACTTTGTGGAGGGGAGGTGATCATCTGGGGATATGGGTGAGGGTGTTAGTCAGGTCCCCACCTGAAAGTCCTGAGGCTTGGAGCTCAGAGCCCTTGGTGTGGTGCAACTGGGAACCATCAGTCTTTGCTTTTCCACTTCTCTAGCCGTTGTGCCAAGTAGGTCTTCATCCTCTGGAGAAACAGTCCAGGGTGGGCTCACAGAAGCCAGGGCTTGAGGTTTTAAGACTTTATCTCCATTTCATCTCTCTATCCTCAGTAATCCACTCCTGACTAAAAATATAGCCTAAGGCACATGTCCTTTCCAGAACATCCCCATGGCCCTCTCTCCCCTCAGTATCTATGTATCTCTGAGCCCCACTCTCCACACACCGGAGCTCTTGAAGCTCATTGATGACTGAGTCTTTTTTTTAATTATAATTGTTAGTATTTACTGAGCGTTAAACAAAATCTTTTTTATTGTGCTTTAGGGGAAAGTTTACAGAGCAAATTAGTTTCCCCTTTGATAGTTTATAGATAAAGTATTCCATGACATTATTTGCTTCCTCCACAATATTTCAGCAATATCCCCATTTCCACCCAGGGTTCCCCATTTCTGGCCTGGGTTCCACATTTACTTTCATCTGCATTTTCTATCTCTTCCATCTTTGCTTTTGGGCAAATAGTATTTTTTTTTTTTAAATGTTTTATTGTGAATTAAGTGATAGTTTACATGGGAGAACATTAGCTTTACATTCATCCTATCATATATAGTTTCATTGCCATGATCACAATCCCCTCCATGCATCATCAAACAACCAAAGTGTATACCCCACAAGCCTGCCCCTCGGTCGTCAGCACACAGCCTCTCTCCCTCTCTGGGTCTAGAGTCCCCAGCTGCTCCATCTCTCCATGTCATTGTCTCTACCTCCATCTATGGCATCACTGTTTCTCTAGGTAGGGTCCCACACTCCACTCTTCTCCCGTGATGGTCCCAGGAACCTCTGCTCCTGGACTGCAAAGTCAATCTCTCCCCTCCTTTTGTTACAAAACGTCTATACCTTTACGTTTTCAACCCTCACAGTCAGACCTGATAGCAATTATTCACTATTGTACCACAAGAGTCCTATCCTCATTTCCTTTCATCAGCCCTGCCCACACAGATTGGATACTACTCAGTGGAGAGTCTACCTTCCTCCGCGCCCTCTGGATCTAGGTTCCTTTTTTATTTTTTCTGCCCTGCATGTGATTTAAAAAAAAAAAAAGTTTTATTGTGAATTATATGATAGTTTACATGGGAGAACACTAGTTTTACATTCATTCTATTGTATATCATTTCATTGCCATGGTTTCAATCCCCTCCAAGCATCATCAACAACCAAAGAGTATACCCTGCAAGCCTGCCCCTTACACAACCC